TGCTTCATGTTTCTTGGCACAGGTAGACGACTTTTGCCACTGACTTTTGTTGTTCGTGAGTTCTAACTTGTTACAAAACGCCGTACATTGCTTATTACGGCTAGAGCATGACTTGTTACAGATCTCTTTCAGGATAGTCCTTGGTTCCCCCAGTTGATCCATATTAATTTCTTTTCCAATGTCGTTAAGTATAAAGAAAATGCCTTTCTTGGAAATTCTAAATTCCTGATCAAATTGTATCTTTATGACCTGAGTGAATGAATATTTTACGTCAGAAAGGGCTGTTACATTCCCTTCCCAAAAGCAATAAATTTTCTGTGGCATTACACTACCTACAAAACTACAAATAATATCAAAATGTAGTTCTAATACATTCCGTTCCACCGTGACTCTACACCGGCTGTAATTGTCTCGTGAGTTGCTAATTTTCTTTTTCAAAACCGTTTTAATATAACGTAGTGAACCTTCTGTTTTGTCGTGAAACATTTATGACTTTTGGTGAGCAACTGCAACTAAAATAAATGACTATAGTAAAAGCAAAAAAAATAAAATAAAATACGTAACTCAAAATAAATAAACAGTTTTCTTAAGAATTAATGTAAGATTTGTTTGAGATTATTGGATCAGGAAATTGTATTTTTTAATACACTTCATAAACATTACTACACCTGTCCATATAATTAATTCTGTGTTAAAGTTTTCTCCCTGTATCCGAAACTGAATATGCCTCGTGAATAAACAGACGCTTGTTGTGGTTGACCTTTTCTCACACACACTCATATTTTAAAGTAACTACTATTAACATTACAAGATTTGATGCGGGTTCGTTATTTTATTTTTCTTAGAATCGTGCTATTCTTGGAAGGGTGAGTCTGAACTAATGCGATCATTGACTTAAGTAATTCTCTTCAATCTGCGAGTCTTTTGGAACTACAGTAAATTACTGAATTCATATTACATTATGCAAAGTAATTGTTTTAATGTTGTGAAGGATGCTAATCTAACCACTAAAAATATTTATTTCATTCTATAATAAATAAGATTTAGGTTTTATTTTAGCTAACTAATTTATCAAGGTGCTCCATATTCCCATAAATGCCTCCCAGTGGCACAGCGGTATGTCTGCGGACTTACAACGCTAGAAACCGGGTTTCGATACCCATGGTGGGCAGAGCACAGATAGCCCATTGTAGAGCTTTGTGCTTAACTTCAAACAATTCCCGTAAATCATTGAGTGAAAGAAGAGACTATTTTTTATTGATCTTTTCAGTTGTTTTTCACACTTTTAGGATTTGAAACTATATTTAAATATATCTTAGTTGCTTATGCAGTGTACTTTGTAAAAAAATAATATTGTGTTATTAATCCTTACCTTAATTTTGACTTGTAAATTACTTAAATGTAATTGATAATAATCACAATTCACTTACTTAACCAAGCTCACACCATAATAGTTTTTGCTCATTAAATTGATGATATAAGTTGCATCTCGACCACTACTATGTTTGTCGTACTCCAGTCGGCGTGGTAAACCGGTATTAGTAAAATAGTCCTCGTCGGCACCGTGTAGTATGGTTAAAATATTCTTCTTTGCTTTTACTTCTAAGCTCTTACAATTATCAATTGAGAAAAACTGTAATACTTAGTAGTTTTAGATTTAAATATAATAGAAAAATTTAGTTAATGAAACATTTTAATATGATTTATGAGGCTTCTTATCGTGGGTTACTGTTGATATGCAAGTAATTAAGATCTTGATGTTATAAAAATATAAACAGATAGAAAAAATAAGCATTACTTTATATATATATATGTATATATATATATGCAAAGGCACCATACCCCCCCCCCCATGAAATCAGTTTCTTTATCCCACTTGTAGTGTTCTCTATTTTGATATTTTGATATTCACTTAGTGGGAATGTACAAACACATATTGCTACTAAAGTTCCAGGAAATGTTTCAGCAAAAAAGTATATAAAGCATTTGTAAAAATATATTCAAAGATGTGCAGTCTTTATTTTTATCTACTTATAACGGCAAAGATTCAATCCTGTTGTGTTAAATTCTTACCTTAGAATGCAGGTCATTGAATACTATGATTACATCACTGCGGTTCAAGTATGGTAACGTACATTTCAACGAAAGTTCTCGCCGATTACAGCATTCTACAGCGTTATCCCAAATGCCAGCAACATCGCCAAATACGTCTATCATGTTATAATCTCGAGCTTTCCACACACACACACAAAACAAACTAGGTAAACATACCTGCAAGTACATATAAAGAAAATTTCAAAATTAAACAACAAAAAAGACAAACTAAAATTATATTTCGAAATATTCAATTTGCTTCCGTTGTAACTAGCCTTCCGCAGTAAATAAATATTCATCACATGTGCAGAAAACAAGAAGGTATCCTCAATAGCCGCGACACTTGAAATTATTGTAGGCAGTATTAGAGAAACTTATTCTATGATCCTATTTTTTCCTTTTTTTTTATTAGCTATATTTTTGTGCGCCAGCAATACCTAGCGTGGGGCGCGCGTTTACCCGATTCGATTTTAATACTCATCAGGATCTCCACCAGACAACCCTCAAATTTAAATTATTTTATGCAGAACTAGAGTAAACTAACCTTTAAGACCTTGGACGTGGTCAAATAATCAATTGAAAGGGCTTAACCTCCGGAGTCCAAAAACTGTAATTTTATATCAAATCGGTAAAGACATGACGGAGGTAAAAGTTTGTAACTGAAAAAAACTCGGAGACATTATATGAACCGCTATGCCGTGGCTAAAAATATACTCACATAAAGCATATAATATATACCAGACTTGTTAGTAAATTCTTCTTCTTGATAATCAGTAGGAAGTGGAATTTTCAACTTCACTAACACCTTATGCGCGCTTGAGCAATTGAGAGAGAACCCTAAGGTTCATGTATAGCCGTTCTACTACTAGCCAAAGGGAAAGCAACCGGTCAGCAGCACCAACCACAAGGGCTTTGTCCAGCCATTTGAAAGAAATAAAGGAACTGACTGTATTACGTTTCGAAACCACGAAAAGCTAGCATTAGTACAAAGATACCATACAAAGTATGGAAGTATAAAATTCCGTATAAAACTAATTGATGGAATTAATTCTTACATTAATTCATATATAATGAACAATCGTTATTTTTTAGTAGAAAAGTAGGTTTTTTTTTTGTTTTTCTTTTCGGTGTTACTTTATTATCAGTTTATTCTAACTGGGGAAAAATTGTATGTTAATCGGTCGTCAAGAAACTTGTATAACAAAGCATTTATTAAATTAAATAGTCTCCATTCTTATTGATGATGTTTTTCCATCTTACAATCAGGTTGTTAATGCTCTGATTAAAGAAATCACTTGGCTTCGAAGCAAGAAACATGTCGATGTCCTCTTTCACACCTTACATATTTGCATACGTTTTTCCATTAAGATGGTGTTGCAGAGAACGAAAAAGATGGTAATTTTATGGTGCAATATCTGGTGGGTGGGGGAAACTTCCCAACCAAACTCCATAATCTTGTATTGCGTCAAATATGTGGACGTGCATTGTCGCGGAGAAGAAGAACACCTTTCCGATTGACT